CTTTGAACCATGATCCTCAGATCTCAGCCTCCTGAGTAGCTAGGATTACAGGCATAAGCTACCAGCGCCTGATCCAATCTAATTTTTTTGAAGGCTGGTTTTGTTTTAGTGCTGCTTGAAACATCACTTGAAATTGATTCCATTCAGAAAACAGGAGAATATACTTAAATTACAAATGCATACTGGTTGGGAATCATTTGAAAATTAGTAAATGATACTATTTGTACCTATAAACTCAACAACTTAGAATTAGTTACTGAAGACTATATTCTACTATAAGTATGAGCTTATTCTTCCTTGTAGACTAAAACACAATTTCGACAGATTGTATGTTGTTTGAAAATGTCAGGAGAGAAGGGAAAAGGTTGGACAAGTTAGATGTTTGTCAATTTTGTTTATCTTTTCAAAGAACACACTCATTAATTTTTTGGTTGATTTTTTTTTTTTTTTGTCGGTCATGGGGCTTAAATTCTGGGCCTGGGCGCTGTCCCTGAGCTCTTCAGCTCAAGACTAGCACTCTACCACTTGAGCCACAGTGCCACCTGTGGCTTTTTCTGTGTATGTGGTGCTGAGGAATCGAACCCAGGGCCTCATGCATGAAGAGGCAAGCACTCTACCACTGAGCCACCTCCCCAGCCTTCCGCTGAATTTTTAAAGTTTCTCTTTCACTTATTTCTGCGCACTCTCTCCCTCCCTCTCTCTCTCCCTCTCTCTCTCTCTCTCCTTCCCTCTTTCTCTCCCTCCCTCTCTCTCGCTCTGTTTTTTTTTTTTGAATTTTGGTTTCTGAGACTGAGTCCTGCTATGAAACCCAGGCTGGTCTTAAACTCTCAACCCTCCTGCCAAAGCCTCCTATGTGTTGGAATTGCATATACTACCATGCCCAGCCTCTGCTTTGTTTGTCACTTCTTTTTGTCTACTTAACTTCAGATTTGTTTTTTCTCCAAGATTCATTTGAGGCCAGGTGCTGATGACTCACATCTGTAATCCTAGCTACTCTGGTGGCTGAGATCTGAGGAGCATGCTTTAATCCCAGCCAGAGCTGGAAAGCCTGTGAGACTGTTAACTTCAATTAACTACCAAAAAGCAAAAAAAATGGAGCTGTGCTCAAAAGGTAGAATAAGGCTGGGAATTGGCTTAGTGGTAGAGTGCTTGCCTAGCATGCAGGAAGCCCTGGGTTCAATCCCTCAGTACCACATAAACAGAAAGGGCCAGAAGTGAGGCTGTAGCTCAAGTGGTAGCCTTGAGCACAGACAGGCTCAGGGACAGTGTCCAGGCCCTGAGTTCAAGCCCCAGGACTGGCACAAAGAACAAATAAAGCTGAGGGACAGTGCTCTGGGCATGAGTCCTTGGGTATAGGAGGGAGGGACTGGGTAAGAATGAAGGAACAGAAGACACTGTATGAACTCATTACCTGACTTACGTAATTGTAATCCTTCTATACATCACCTTTACAATAATACTAATTAAAAAAATAATGGCTGTCCAGTGTCTAAATTGAATGGACAAAAATGATCCTCAAAAAGTCCAGTTCAGCCAAGTGCTGGCCTCTCCTTCCTGTAATCCTAGCTACTGAGGAGGCTGAGATCTGAGGATCACGGTTTAATGCTATCCTGAGTGGAAACTCTGTAACTCTTATCGCCAATGAACCACCAGAAAACTGGAAGTAGCACTGTGGCTCAAAGTGGTAGACTGTTAGCCTTGAACGCAAAAGCTCAGGGACAGTGCCTAGGCCCTGAGTTCAAGCCCCACAACCAACAAAAACCCCCAAAACATCCTGTTCCCAAAAATTAATACAATTGATAATGTCTAAATAAAAAAATTACATAAGTAAACAAATGAACAGAAACAAACAAGGGGAAAAAAACCCCCGCAGTTTTCAGAGCCTGGTGCCAGTGGTTCACACCTGTAATCTGAAACTATTCATGAGGCTGGTATCTGAGGATCACACTTTGAAGCTAGTCCAGGCAGGGAAACTCATGAGACTCTTATTCCAGTTAATCAAAAAAAAAAAAGGCCAGAAGTGGAGCTGTGCCTCTAGTGGTAGAGTTGCTGCTAGCCTTGAGCACCAAAGAGACAGCACCCAGCCCTTGAGTTCTAAGTCTCAAGACTGGTAAAATAGAACAGCTGTTAATATTATTGTATAATTCTTTCCAGCAGGTGGCAGCATAACTACAGGTTCCATTCACTGTAAACTTCACCTTTGGCTGGTTTCCCAGTGGAGGTGAAGAGACCTAGAGAGACTTAGAGACCTAGCCTTCAATGAAGGCTTCTGGACTCCAGAGTCTTAACCCTCAGCCTAAGTTTCCAGTTCTCAGTCTGTGGTGCTCAGCCTTTCCTTTCCTGGCCTGGATTTGCTGGTTTTCTCTCTGCCAGCTGGTTAGGTCCAGCTGGTTAGCTGTAGGATTGGTATCTAAACAAACTATGTCTGTCTTTTGTCTTGCAGGGCTTGCTTCTGTGTGGCCGTTGGTGTATACAGATCCCAGGGTCTGTAGACTCTCTGCTGGAGTCTTTCTGTAGCACCTTCAAGATGGTGCATGGGATGGTGCCAGGCCTGCAGCAGTGTGGCATTGTAGCTCTGCGTTCGCCCACATGTCCTGGCTAGCTGGTGATATTGAGACTTGAGGCCACTGGGACACCAATTCTCTCTCTTCTGCAGTTCTCTGAAGCAGTTTACTGCTTGTTTCATTCACTGGACTCTGAGAGGCTGGACAGGGCCACCTACTTTTATTTTGTTGTTGGTTGTGGGGCTTGAGCTCAGGGCCTGGGTGCTGTCTCTGAGCCTTTGTGCTAGCTCTCTACCACTCGAGCCACAGTGCCACTTCCAGGTTTTTTTGTTTTGTTTTTTTGGGTCCAGTTATGGGGTCTGAACTCTGGGCCTAGGTGCTGTCCTTCAGCTCTTCAGCTCAAGGCTAGCGCTCTACCACTTGAGCCACAGCGCCACTTCCGGCTTTTTGTGGTACTGAGGAATCGAACCCAGGGCCTCATGCGTGCAAGGCAAGCACTCTGCCACTGAGCTACCTTTCTAGCCCTGGCTAGTTTGGAACTGTGATACTCAGATCTCCTGAGTAGCTAGGATTACAGGTGTGAGCCACCAGCTAGGGCCGCCTACTTCTAATCCGCCATCTTGGCTTTGTCAGTGGTTACATTTCAAAGCTTCTCTACTGAATTTTTCATTCAAATCCTGCATTGTCTTTATGATTTTTTTAAACTGTGTTCTCTTGTATCTTGTGCTTTTGTGTTTTAAATCATTCTTTAAAATTCCTAACTAGACATTTAATCCCATTTTTATTTCTTTGGACTATGTTGTTAGAAAGTTATTCTTTTGGAGCGGTTACATTCCCTTGCTTTTTCCACATTTTTTTTGTGCTCCTAAATTGACATGTATCTGGTAAATCAGATAATCAGTATTTACTTATTGCACTACTGCAGTTTGAACTCAGGTGTCAACATACCAGTCAGCCAGAAAATGGAGAGAAATTACATGTGCAAAAGGCTTAGACAGCCTCGTGTGTATGGAATTGTTTTATGCTTCTACTATGCACTACCTTGTTTTAGCTATGAGAGAAACCCAGAAATATTGTGTCACTGAATGGCCATCCAGGAACTGTTTCAAATTTGCTGAGAAGCCTGGTTAGATGACTTGGGCAAGTTAGATGCCCTGACTCCATCCCACTGGTGTCTATGTGACCTTTCCATGTCAGCAGTCAGTTGGCTGACCCGCTGTTCCCCTCTACCACGAGTCCGGCCACGCTTCTGTGCCCCATCCTTCCTGGAACTGGTGCCACATGCTTTGCTGGCTCCTCTCTAGGGGAGCGGTTTCCACACCTGAAATATGGGCGAGATTCTCTCCTTAGGATTTCAGCTTTCCCATTTGCTAGAAATTGGTAGATAGGACACTTCCCATAAAGAGGCAATCACCTGCAGCCAAGACACACATCTGGTCTATGCAGAAAAGGCTGGAAGTTGGCAGGACGAATTCCTTCAGTGAAGCATCCTCCCAGAATGCTGGCATCATTGAATTGTCAAGGCATCACATTCCACATGGAGGGAGTCAAGAAAACACACTCGTGGCCATTACTGCTTTTATTTAGAAAATTACTGTTCAAATATAAACATCTCTAAATAGAAACACTTCGCAGGAGACCGTCGCTGCCTCTGACCAGCGGCAGAGACGCTGTGGATGAAGAAGAGTCCACAGGGGCCTCCGAATTTGCCAGGACTTTTAAGGCTGAAGGAGTGCTCGGAAGAGCAGGGGCTTTAAGGCTATTCTCAATTCCCTTTGTTGAAAGCCATCATTTCCCATTGCAGGGTAGGCTTCCTATCTAGGGAAGTGTGCTGAACCAAGTTTTTGGGGCAGATTGCTGGTGTACGGGTTAGCAAGTATCTTCCGCAGCTGGCGGAGGTCTTACCAGGCACTTTAGAACCTGGCTTTGAATACTGTCTCTGAAGCATGGAGGTTTGTGATGAAACAGAAAAATCTTTCCAAGACTAGGATAAGCTTTTCTGGGAGCACCTATCTTCATTCAAATAAGTCACATGGGTTGCGTTACCTGCAACTGTGCACACACCCAGGTGGCAGGATTGGGCCCAGATGAAGGCGAAAGGCTTCCAGTCTCCCACCAGACCTGGCTGGTTTGAGACTAGTGCACAGCCAATACTTTTAATGGCTAGCTGGAGCTCCATTGCTGCTACCTGCTAGTCTAGGAAAATCTGTCGTTATTGAGCGCAGGGAGAGAAAGTCATGAGCACCCACAGATTGTCAGGAAGTGGCATAGGGCTGTGTGGAACAGGGAAGGGGAATTGTCAGTAACAGCTGTAGGAAAATGAAGGCCCTAAGTATTTCTCAACAAAGGAGAGCTGTTCAATTTTGTATAACCAATCTCAGAATGTGATGAAATAGCTAAGATTTTATTTTAGTGACCTTAGAACTGAGAGAGAAAAAGAGAGAGGAGAGAGAGAAGATGGAGGGGGGAGGGGAAGGGAGAAAAGAGGAAAGAAGGGGGGGAAGAGGGGAGAGGAGGGGAAGGGAAGGAAGGAAAGGAGAGAGGAGAGGAATGCTGGACTCTGGAAGTATCTTGTTTCTGAAGCTCTAAGTATGGTGCAATTCTGGTGCAATTCTTGCCACTTACAAAAGCATGGTCCAAGGGTGCTGAGAGCCCTACTTCTTCCCCCCATTCAAACAGGTCAGTTGATCACAGGCCACCCCAGACTCAATATGCTACAACCAACGCTGGCATCCTCTAACGTGAGCATACATACAATACCAGTCTTCTGATTGCAAATCTGTCATTTCCAAAGGCTGACCCTGGCCCTGTCTCTTCTTATGGTCACTGAATCATGTGCAAGGCTTGGGGTCCACTTCAAATTCTAGAAATCCTAGTTAACGTCTGGGTTTACAAGCAATGGAGAACAGTGCTTGCCTCGTGCTCTGCCGCTGTGGATGGAAGCGCAGTGCGGGGCCTGTGTCTTCAGGGCAGGTGCCTGGTGGCCCAGTGGAGCCTTCAGCAGACTGAAAGTGAAGGCAGCAAGGTTGAGTGAGTGGGAGGCAGCCTGGGCTCAGGTGTACTCGGTTTTGCGGATATAATTGGATGGGACGTAACCCTTCTTTCCGTTAACTTCAGCCAACCACCACTCTGTGTTGCCTGTAACGTCTTTAAATTCGAGGATCCTTAGTCTCTGATTGGCTGGCACACTCAGCTCATTTGGGTTCCGAGCGGTGAAGGTGTAGACAGCGAAATAGACCTGTAGAGGAGAGGGAAGTCAGGAACCCGGAGCAGTGCTGTGCCACAAACCTTTCTGCTGTGAAAGGGGATGTTCTCTATCCCGGTGGCTTCGGAGCATATGAAATGACAACTCGTGAAGCTGAGAACTGCATTTTACATCAATTAAATAAGGTTTAAATATCTGGAGGGGGCTGGAGGTTCCTGCAATGAACAGAATAGATCCAAAGAAATCCAAAATGCACACCGATTAATTCTTAAGAATTCAGAAAGTTTAGTCAATACTGAAGATGGATGAGCTACAGGGGTCCCTTCTGTACCACAATTCTGTACCTCATCCAGAAATTCTTAGTTAGGGCTGGGAGTATAGCTGAATGATAGATCACTTGCTAATGCCCTTGGGTTCAATTTCCAGCATGGCCATACCCTTCAAACAATATTAATACAGCTGGGCACCAGGGGTTCACACCTGTAATCCTAGCCTGTAACGAAGGACACTCACTGCTGTAAGAGGGAGCCACAGCAACAGAGGTGTGGGGCACAGACTCCTTAGCTGAGAAGCCTTAAGAAAGGCGGGTCTAGACGGGCTCACGCCTGCAATCCCAGCTACTCAGGAAGCTGAGATCTGAAGATTGTGGTTCAAAGCCAGCCCAGGCAGGAAACTCCCTGAGACTTATCTCCAATTAACCACCAGAAAACCAGGAGTGGTGCTGGGGCTCAAGTGGTAGAGCATTTGCCTTGAGCTAAAGAGCTGAGGGACAGCGCCCAGGCCCAGAGTTCAAGTCCCACGACTGACAAAAATAAGAAAAACAAAAAGAAAAAAAGAAAGGTGGGTCTAAAACATGCATGATGTAAAGGCGGCACTCACACTCACAAGATAGGAGCAGACCATTTCAAAAAAAGAATAGGAAAACTGAAATAGTGCCAGAATTTAATTTCAAAATGCTAGAATTAAAAATAGTCATGTATTGCCTGGCGCCTATATTCCTAGCTATTGAGGAGACATAAGATCTGGGGGTTGTGTGCTAGCCCCAGCAGGAAAGTCTGTGAAACTCTTATCTCCATTAAAAAAGCTAGAAATGGAGCTGTAGCTCAAGTGTAAGAGCACTAGCCTTGTATAAAAGAAGCTAAGGGATAGTGCCCATGCCTCAAGACTGGCACTGGCGCACACACACACACAGTTATACAAATAAGAAACTAAATTGGTAGGTAAAAACAGCAGACTTCCTAAGATGGAAGGATTAGTGAACTTGAAGAGTAGAAAAAGGTCCCATAGGGCTGGGAGGGTGGCTCAGTGGTAGAGTGCTTGCCTTGCAAGTATGATGCCCTGGGTTTGATTCCTCAGCACCACATAAGCAGAAAAAAGCTGGAAATGGTGCTGTGGCTCAAGTGGTAGCCTTGAGCTGAAGAGCTGAGGGAATGTACCCAGACCCAGAATTCAGGCCCCATGACCAACAACAACAACAAAAAAAATGAAAGAAAGAAAAAAGGAAAAGGTCTCATGTCCCGTTTTAACTACCCAGTGAAACAACAGAAGTGATCTAGGAATGGTGTGAGACAGATCAGAGAAGGCAGAGCGGGAGTGCTGGGCAGGCTCCGTCCAGGACCCCGAGATGACAGCTAGGTCCCAGGCAGGCCTCTGCCTTGCCACCTTCTGACCCTGGGGTACCAGGAGAGCACTTACCTGGTTTCCTTCCACCTCACTGCTTTCCAGATCTTTGTTTTTCTCTTCCAGAGCCTGGCTGGCTCTTGCATTTCCTTTCACAAGGTCATTACCTTGCCCATTTCGCCCTGGCACAGAGTAACCAGATGCCTCGGGATGCTTGTAGCCTTGGTAGCAGCCTTTCAGGGTGGCAGAGGGCTGGCTCGTATCTCTGGCCACATCCGCTGAGTGCCCAGGCCTGGGCTGGCAGGGGGGCTCTGGCTCAGCAAGGCACCTGGCAGGACCACTTCCTGGGCTCCCCGGACTCCCCGGGGCCAAGGGTGCACTCAGAGTGCCTTGGTCACATTCCTTCAGTGAACATGCATCTTGAGACTGCGGGGAGCAAGATCCTGGGGTGAAGGACACAGCCATGCTGCCCGGGTTGAAGGTCAAGGTGCTGTTACTATTCTGCCGCGGGAACCTGGGGGAGCAGCTACCCAGCTCAGACTCAGTGGATGAGTGGCTGCCAACCGAGGCGTCTGACTGGCTGCGCCGAGGGTTGTATGGCTTCAGGAAGGAGCTGTACACGAAGCCTTTGGTGACTGTGGAGAGAAGGGGCAACATGAAGAGCTTGCTGCAGAAGCAGAAAAGCAGGGAACTGACAGAAAGACTGTGGTTCAATAGCTGAGGCAATGATGAGAGACAACATATGATGCCTAATAGCAAAAAACTCCAATCCCAGGGTGCATCATGCACGGCTGGAGACAAAGCCATGGCCAGCAGCCGGTTCATTCCTGCACTACTTCTTAACAGCGAAGTGATAGGGGCCCTGCCCCCAACCGAGAGGGCAGTAGTTAACATCACCACATACTTGGGAAAATTTAAAGGGATATCTAGATCATGGCTCAGGAGAACACCCAGTGCAAGCAAGTACATACGTGGCCGAGAGGGACTGCAGGGCCATCATGGTAGGAACTCCTCCCTCAGGGTCAGAATCTTCTGTTTAGGGACTGCTGTGGAATGCTGGAAGCATTCTAAAGTGGGAAGCCATCAGCTAGGCTTTTCAAACTAAAGATTGGGATTAAGATGGTATCCACACAAAATTTCTTTTGTGAAGGTGCCAGTAGAGAGCTTGAACTCAGTGCCTGGGTACTGTGCCTTAGCTTTTTCACTCAAGGCTGATGCTTTACCCCTTGAGCCACAGCTCCATTTCTACTTTTTGGTGGTTAGCTGGAGTTAAGAATCTCATGGACTTTCCTACCAGGGCTGGCTTTGAGCCAGGATCTTCAAATCTCAGCCCCCTGAGTGGCTAGGATTGCATGGCAATGCAAGACAATTTTTATAAATGTATGAAGTTCAGACCCTGAGTATATAACCTTCATGAGAACAAGGACCAACTGTCTTTGAGATCTTTCTCAGGGACAGAGCCCAGGCCCTGAGTTCAAGCCTCGGGACGGGTGTACATGTGCACAGCGCAAGTGCGCGTGTGCGCGTACACACACACACACAGAGGCCTAGTTGGTGTGCATAGAGAGATTTAGTGCACAAGTTCCAAAACCTTACCTATAAAATGTTTATAGCAGGTGTCTTGAAATTTGAATTTTTTTTGACTCAGGAGAGATCAAGTACACACATGTTGCACAAGTCCCCCCAGCTTGTCATTATCAACCCCCTACAGCAAAACAGATGACTGCCCATGTTAAGATTTCTGCAACAGGTTTCTAAAAATACAAAACAAAACAAAAAAATCCCTTTGTTTTTCTGTGCTTTTTGGATTTTGGAATAATAGACGAAGAGATTGTAGATTAATATTATTCTTTGTATTGTTTGTATGTATGTATGTATGCATGCATGCATGCATGCATGTATTTTTGATGTGCTGGGCCTGGGCTTGAATTCAGAGCCTGAGCGCCATCTCTAAGCTTTTTTTTGTTCAAGGCTAGTACTCTACTATTTGAATCACAGCTCCAATTCTAGCTTTTTGGGTGATTAATTAGGGATGAGAGTCTCACATAGTTTCTTGCTTGGGCTGGCTTTGAACCAGTATCCTCAGATCTCAGTTATCTGAGTAGCTAGGATTACAGGTGAGAACTTCTTTGTACTTTCAAATTTTATAAATCCCCACAACCCTCAAGCTGTGAGGTGTTTAAAGTCACTCCCCAAATAATCATGAGGTAAAATCTATTACAAGGGAGGAAAAAAAAGCGAACAAAAACTACACGTGTTTTGTTTTTGTTTTTTTCTTTTTGTTAGTCATCGGGCTTGATTGAAATCAGGGCCTGGGCACTGTCCCTGAGCTTTATGGAGCCACAGCTCCACTTCCAGTTTTTTGGTGGTTAAATGGAGTTACACAGACTTTCCTGCCCAGGCTGGCTTTGAGCCACGATCTCAGATCTCAGCCTCCTGAGTAGCTATGATTACAGGCATAAGCCACTAGTGCCTGCCTGACACTTATAGGTTTTTAAGTCATACACAGGAGAAGTTTATAGAAACTGGGAGAGGGCAGCTTGCTGTGTGACGCAAAGGAGATGAAGAGGAAACAGGATTCCGCTGGGCAGTCTGACTGCCAGGACACGCTAGAAACATGGACAGATCTTACAAGACACATAAGGAAACCACCTCTGGAATTGATCAAAACAAAAACACAACCCAAAGCAGGTTATATTTTATTAATAACCTGAGTGTTGTTTCCTAGAAATGGAAATTACTTTGACAGTTATTTCCTCCTGTAATCAAAAGCTTTCCTGTGTTTTTCTGACCTGAAAAAGTAATCTTCCTCACTTAGAGTCACGTGTGTCCAGTGTGTAAAATTCTTACCTCCATTGTCGATCAGCCAGCGGTTCTGACTGCCCATAGGGTCTTTCTTTTTAATCACACCCACTAGGTCACCTTCCAGAAGTGAGACGTCCAAGTCCTGAGTGGCATTGAAGTTACGCTCTGCCTGGAAGAGTTGCTCTGGGGGGTACCTGGCCAGCAGGGAGGCGCGGAGCTCTTCAGACTGGAACATGTACCTGGGCTGAAAGGCGTCAGAGAGAGCATCAACAAGAGCGCCTGCCTGGCCGCCATCCTAGCAGCCTTATTTAACTCAACATACCCTCCACCCTCAGCAGTGAGGCACAACAATCAGCCACCCTCCCTCCCCACAGGATGCTTCTGTAACTGGGTGTTACGATAAAACGATGGCCGCTTAGACATGTTGGTGCCTTTATAGCTATGAAGCAAGCCTAATAGACATTTTTGTCACAAAATTGGGATTAAAACACTACCTAAAGAATCCAAAGATTGAGGCTGGGAGTACAGCATGGTGATGGGCTGTGTACTTGGCTTACGTGAGGCCCTGGGTTTAATCTTCAGCACGAAAATTAAAAAAAAAAAAAAAATTTAACTGGAAAAAAAAAAAGAAAAAGAAAGCACTATTCTCAAGTTTCTGATATGGTGCAACATAGCCTTAAACAATTGAGATTTCCCTACATCTACTTCCTCAACTGTAAAACAAAGGTCATAAAAATAAGAAAGACAAAGGGAGTAATAAGTTCAATTCTCCCTTTTAAGGTACTATCTGTGAGATTACTCAGACCATAAATATAATGAAGGCAAAGTAGCAGTCCTTTAGCTTAGGAGCCCATACAATCTGGAGTGTCATATTCTAACTTTTTACATTTTTTATTATTATTGTAAGGTGGGCTACAAAGGGGTTATAGTTACAGTCTGGTAATGAGTACATTTCTTTTGAACAATGTCACCCCTTCCCTCATTCTCTTTCTTACTCTAGTTTAAAAAATATTGAAAGTACTGAATTGAAAAGGAAAAACTTCCAGGTTAAAAAAAAAAGCCAGTTATGAATCACTTGACTATGTTAACTTTTATAATACATGATCAAAAATACACAAAACTGACAAAATAAATAAGTCATCTATTAGGTCCCTTCATGAACTCATCTCTGTAGTAATACTTTACTCAGATCGGGAATGATCCAGAGGCTGGCAAGTGTGAGAACAGTGAGCACACCAGCCACTGGCAGTGGCCACTGGGGGCCCACCAGCAATGCTCGGGAATGCCCGCCAGCGATGCTCGGGAATGCCCGCCAGCGATGCTCGGGAATGCCCACCAGCGATGCTCGGGAATGCTCCCCAGCGATGCTCGGGAATGCCCACCAGCGATGCTCGGGAATGCCCACCAGCGATGCTCGGGAATGCCCACCAGCGATGCTCGGGAATGCTCCCCAGCGATGCTCGGGAATGCCCACCAGCGATGCTCGGGAACGCTGAGGGAATACACAGCCAGGAGGGAGAGACCCCGTAACCTCCATTTTTTTTTTTTAGGATACTGGAGTTTGAACTCAGGGCCTTGTGCTCACCACCCCAGAGTCCTCTTTGCTTTAGTTATTTTTCAGTCTCTTGCTTTTTGTTGTGATCCTCATGTATACAGCATACACACACAGCTTGTTTGTTGAGATGGAGGTCTTGTTAACTTTTGCCCAGGCTGCTCTCAACTTGTGATCCTCCCTACCTCTGCCTCACAGTAGGTAACTAGGACTGCAGGTGTGAGCCACCATGCACCGCCTTTATTTTCTATTTTCTAGGAATGGGGTAAACTGTCATCTGCAGAGGCAGCACTGGGCCCACGGACACGGATGATGGTGACAACGCTTCCTGTGCCTTGGGGAGAAGGAATGCAGTGCCAGGAGTGGAAGAGGCACTTGGGACACAGCGCAGCCTCACCCCCAAGTCCCACAGCCTTCCTCCGTCCCCACTCACCAGGCCCAAGAGGGACTTCCGAGAAGACTGGCGCTCTGTGGTCTTCCTCTCAAATGGCCTCTTGCTGGCCGGAAGTGCCTCTGGGAAGAAGGTGAAGAGCTGGAGCTGCTGCAGGACCCTGCTGTGCTCCTCGTGGAAGATGGCGATCAGGTTGCCCTCTCTCCCGGTCACTTTGAGTAACTGAAGTCCATGGACAGAGTTGTGATGAAGGAAAGAGGAGAACAGAAATGAAGGATCTTTGAGAGTCACAGGATCTCTAGAAAAAGCTAAAGGTCAGCTGCTGGTCACTGTGTGTGATGCTCAGCCAACAAGGGAGATACCTGTGGTGCTACCTGAGGGCCAGGTTCGCAACTCTTCTGGAAATTGCTCTTGTTGGAAAGAGACATTTAAGAAGCCCCAGGTTTCATTGCATTATGAAGGGACCAAGACTTCCTGAGGGACAAGATCTGATGACCCCACGGTACATTCCCAGCAAAATACCCAGCAACCTCCTGAGATGACTCCCCCAGAGGAGTGAGGGACTCACGGAAAGCAGCGGCTGCAACTGCTCTAGCGCCTGCTGCACAAAGTCGCAGTGGGCTTCAGCATAGCCGTGAATGCAGTTGGCGAAGAGCCCCTGTGCATACTGCTGGAACTTGGGCAGCTCATCCAACAGCTGTGCATTCAGGGCCTCATAATTGTTCCGGGCAGACTGCAGCTCCTCCAGGGTCTTCTTGTCCTTGAGCTTCTCTGCCCGTTCGGTGCAGTTGTAGAAATCCAGGAGCTTGTCAAAGCGCTTCTGCACCAGCTTGTGGGGCCCAGTGAACATGCTCAGTAACTGGTTTAAAGGAGAGATGACAAGCCGCTCTGTCCTCTCCTTCTGCAGGGACAAAAAGGCACCTGGCTCAGTACGGCACCCGCATGGTCTCAAACCCTCTACACGGGGCTTCTCCCAAGTGCACAGGCCACAGGCACGTCCACTGGCCACGTGGCATCCGCCTCATCCAACACTTCCACACCAAGCCCTTTGCCAAGACGCCTGTCACCTCATCGCCCTCGGTGGTGGGGCGGGGCTGCGTGGTGCCAGGCAGCTCCTCTACTTACACGCCCCCTTTCTGGGCAATTGTCTATAGCGTCTGATTCCAACTTCAGACTTCCTTCTTACATAAATCTGGGTTAGCAATTTCCACACTCCTATAATTCTGTTTCTAGGTAAGCATTCTGCCACTTGACGGCTATCCCAGGTATAGTACTGTTGCTAATCATAACTACAGGTAATATCTATTTTTATTTTTCAGATGATTTATTTATTCAATTTAGAAGATCAGATATTAAGGATAAGGGTATTGAACACATTAAAAAAAAAATAGGTACTGAGTAGCATCCTACTAAAACTAATTTGGTACCAGGTATCAGTGGCTCATGCCTGTAACCCTAGCTACTTAGGAGGGGGAGATCTGAGGATCATGGTTCAAAGTCAGCTTGGGCAGAAAAGTCCATGAGACTCTTATCTCCAATTTGGCAAAAGGCAGAAGCTGAAGCTCAAATGGCAGAGTGGCATCTTTGAGTAAAAAAGCCAAGCAAGAGTGTGAGGCCCGCAGGGCGCCGGTGGCTCACGCCTGTAATCCTAGCTACTCAGGAGGCTGAGATCTGAGAATCACGGTTCAAAGCCAGCCCGGGCAGAAAAGACTGTGAGACTCCTATCTCCAATAAACCACTAGAAAACCGGAAGTGGCGCTGTAGCTCAAGTGGTAGAGTGCTTGCCTTGAGCTTAAGAGCTGAGGGACAGCGCCCAGGCCCAGAGTTCAAGCCCCATGACCGACAAAAAAAAAAAAAAAAGTGTGAGGACCTGAAGAGATTAAGCCCCCACATTGCTGCACACATGCGCACACACGTCCATTTACGTCAGAACACTTTCAACTTCCTGAAGCTTGCATGCCTGCCTTAGCCGTGCAGAGAACAAATTGTCAAACAACACACAATTCTATTTATCATCAAGCTATCCCATACACATCTATGTAGAATCTCCATGAATTGGGCCTCTAGTACTTCATTTATAAAGTAGGTGGTATGTTATAAAAATCTATTTGGTAGTGTTCAACTAGAAACACAGTTTTATTATTTATTTTTGTGTAGCCTCCTAAGTAGCTAAGATTACAGGCTTGAGCTATCGGCACCCAGCTTGGACTAACTTTTAAATCATAGTTTTCTTCCCCTCTTGTGTTCTCTGAATCTAAGTGGATCACAAGCTATAAAGAAAACCCACTAACTACCTAACAGATCCTTTCTGTTCCTCTCCTGAACCAAACACAAACAAGCAAAGCAACCCTGACATGAAGACTACGGGCACCATGTGCTTCTGGTCTCTGTGAATATGTGTTGCGCTGAGGCTGAGACAGGCCCAAGCTACAAAAAGTAGGCTGAACAGAGAGCCACTCACAAAGCTGGCGAAGAGCTGGTCGCTGATGTAGCGATGCACCTTCTCAAACTGCTCCAGGTCACGGTGTCCCCTCTCCATGCACAGGTCCCACATGCTTGCTGCAGCCACCACCTTCACACAGGCTGACTCCTGGCGCCCGTGAGCCACAGACACAGTAAGAACACTCAGAAGTTCCTAACCTTCCTCACTCGCCCCACCCCCTCCCTCCAGAGTACCTGGGCCTGCTCTGCGGGGCAGAGCAGACAGATGGGGCTGCTCATCCAGGCCCAGGAGACAGTTACTTTTCACTCAGTATGGGGCCCTTAAATTTTATACCATCTTCTTTAGTTTGTTTTTTTGTTTGTTTTTGTTTTTAAAGAAGACAAGAAAAAAAGCAAAGAAAGCTATGTTTTATAAGAGCAGGGTTTCATGTGCGAGGGGCAGGATCTACACACATCATACCATCAATAGCTTAGAGGTAAGATGCAGGACTCTCGTTCTGCTTCTCTCTGCCAGAGAGAACAAGGGAAAATCCAGGCCCACTTAGTCCCCTTCTTATTTTTTTTGGTCCAAGACTAAAACTCAGTATCTGACACTTTTGCTCATTGGCTAGTGTACTACCAATTGAGCCACGTTTCCAACCCCCCACCCCACCCCCGCCACCCCACCCCAGCTTCTGCAGTTCCCCAAGGCTACTGAGGGAACTAATAACTTTACAGGCTAGACATACAGCAGTTTCCTAAATTGCTCAAATGCTCAGGACACCTCCATACAAACTGTCCTCATCTTCCTGTCCTTGTTCTTTCTCTCATCTGTCTTCCTGATTTCCAGCTTCACAATCTTGGTATCAAATATTTGATCTTCAAAAATGATATTAACAAAATGAACTATGAAAGGTGCTTTGTTTTTGGTCATGGAGCCTGAATTCTGGGCCTGGACACTGTCCCTCAGCTCTTCAGCTCAAGGCCAGTGCTCTACCACTTGAGCCACAGCTCTACTTCCGGCTTTTTCTACTTATGTGGCGCTGAGGAATAGAACCCAGGGCCTCATGAATGCAAGGCAAGCACTCTACCACTGAGCCACCTTCCCAGCCCTGAAAGGTGCTTCTTATACAACTAGATCTAAAAGACAGAAAAAAAAAAAAAAAAGATGTATGAATGAGGGGAAAAGTGAAGCCTGAAAGAGGGAGGTCACTTTAAAAATAACACCTAAATACTGGTGGCTTAGGCCTGTAATCCCAGCTTCTCAGGAGGCTGAGATCTGAGAATCATGGTTCAAAGCCAGCCCAGGCAAAAAAGTCTGAGACTCATCGCCAATTGAACACCAAAAAGCCAGAAGTAGAGCTGTAGCTCAAGCGGTACAGCACTAATGTTAAGCACAAAAGCTCAAGGACAGGGCCCAGGCTCTGAGTTCAAGCCCCAGGACTGATACCGAAAGCATAAATAAATAACAATCAATCATTTAAAAAAAATAATAAGCAAAGGGATGCAACAGTACTCATCTTCTAAAATAGCCCATAGGTATCCTAGTACCTAGTACCCATCCTGAGGCAGGATGGTCATGAGTTTGAGGTCAGTCTGAGGTGTATAATTAGACCTTGTTTCAACAAACAACCCATATAAAACTCCACTAAATGGCCACCATGGAAAATGACCGTTTGAGTTCAAATTATTTAAGTTTCATCTTAGCGTACTTGCTAGGTGACAGGGAAGTAAACAACACAATGTGGACACACTCACTCGGATATGCTGGAGGTAGAGGGACAGGTCTCGGATAAATGATTTAATTAATCTCTCTTGCATTCGGAAGTTCTTTTCTGTTTCCTCAAATACTTCATCCTTTATCTGTTCAAAATAAACAAGAGCTGTTAGCACATTTGTATGTTTCCCCAATAGATATTATTGACAAAACCATGTTTTTTAGAATAACTGCATTAAAATTTAAACCTCTGAAGCCAGGCGCCAGTGGCTCATGCCTGTAATCTAACTACTCATGAGGCTGAGATCTGAGGATCATGGTTCAAAGCCAGCCCGGGCAGGAATGTCTGTGAGACTTTTATCACCAATTAACCACCAGAACACTGGTAGTGGAACTGAACTCAAGTGGTAGAGTGTTCACCTTGAGCTAAAGAGCTCAGGGATAGCGCCAAAGCCAGAGTTCAAGCCCCATGATGGGAGGGTGGGGGGGTGGGGGGAGGGGCGGGAATTAAACTTGTGATATTTTTCTGAATCGCAGTGTTAATTAATTTGGACACCACTCTATAGCTCTGAAAGGTCTCTGCAACATGTAGTCCTCTCTGTGTCCAAACCGCCTTCCCCTGGGACCCCTGTCCTCTGCCTCCATCAGGCTGCCAGCACTGCCACGTTTGCCCACACAGGGCTGTTTCCCTGGGCTCCCCTGCCTAGTGGGCCTCCCACTCTCCATCCACCAAACCTGGGGCTCTCTGAAGCCTCAGCCGAACTCCCAGGACAACAGAAGCACACACTCTCATCAAAGGCCCATTTTTTTTTTCTATGTACTGCAGCACTCAGGGAACAAAGGACAAAACTTGGCAACTGAATATCCTCTGCCTTGAATTTTCCACTTGCTGTCAGATGAAGCCTGGAGACTTCCTGTCTGCTCTCCACATCACTCACTCTTTGGTGCATGCTTCCTTATTTATAACGTAAAATATCCAAGTAGGCAAGCTCCTGAATGTGTTTTCTAGCTTAACTGTCTACAATTTTAGATCTGTCTCCCCACATAGATTATCAGCTCCTTAGAGACATGGAAAAACCATAGTAATTATTAATGTGGTCTCCTAAGTTGCCTTTGTATTTAGTGTATGCAACTCACTGGGATACAAATGGAGGGCTGGATGGGTGGATCCACAGAATAAGTAGCTGCAGGCTGTTTCCACCAGACAGCAAAACCAGGTGACACCAAGAAGGGAGCCAGGCCAATTGGCAACAGCAGCCACCCCACAGAGCCCTGAAAGCATCTTCACACGCAGAGCCCTCACCTGGGGAGCGAATCCAGTGAGGTGCTTCAGGTGACTGCTGACGCGGTTGGACTTTTTGATGATGGAGTGGATATTCAGTTTGGAAATCTTCTCCATAAGGCTGTCTTCATCGCCCTTTCGGTACTTGAGCACTAGGGGAGGCGAGTCAAAGGGTTGTCAAAAGAACAAATAGGGGCTGGGAATGTGGCTTAGTGGTAAAGTGCTTGCCTAGCATACATGAAGCCGTGGGTTCCATTCCTCAGTACCACATACACAGAAAAAGCTGGAAGTGCACTGTGGCTCAAGTGGTAGAGTGCTAGTCTTGAGCAAAAGAAGCTCAGGGACAGTGTCTGGGCCCTGAGTTCAAGCCCCAGGACTGCCCCCCCCCCCCAAAAAAAGTCATTAAAAAAAAACAAACAAATATTTTTGTGAAATCAGACACGAAATTAACAACCCAAACTGGAATTGTGCTTGTCTTCATGAACTTATAATTCAATAGAGAAAATAATAATGCAAAGGATCACTCAGGATTAGACACGATAGCTAAAGAATAGCAGAGACTCAGGAGCTGGAGAAGGCTGAGATGAGGGGAAAGAACAGGGAAATCTGTGTCCAGTGCCTGGGCCTGTCAATCAAGGTTATTTTTCTGAGCCTCATTTTCCACTTGGATTAAATATGGAAAGTAATACTTTAGGCATCTCAAAGATTGTATATGATGATCTAGTACAAAAACGAGGCTTTTAGGTATAATAATCTCACACAGTAAGATGCTATTTGACTAACCACTGGGTCACCTATCTGGGAAGGCAGAATGGCAGCAAAAAGGACACTTTCCTGTAGAAGATGAAGACACTGCACCAGAAGATGTTCCAAAAGGAAGAAGGGACTCAACGGCAGAGAGCACAAAAGCCACAGGAGCTGTTACATACAAATATGGGCGAGGTGACTAAAATAGAGGCCGAGAGTGAGTTGTGGACAGCTTTAGGAAAAATGTGGAACAGTGGAGGGACAGGTGGAAGGCACCACCCAGTGTTAAAGAGACTCTCTTGATTTAGCAGAGAGAGAATGACCTGAGCATGGAGATCTCTGACTGTCCCCCCTCCAGGCTGTCCTCTTCTGTCCTGGAAGATTCACTCACTTACCACCCATTGCTTTTCCACCAATGCCTTTATCCACCACAGCCACCACTATGGAGGTGCCGTTGTCATTATTACTGCCTTTCTTCTTCACATCACATTTCCCAAATTCTACTCCATTTCTTTATCAACGCCTATTCCACTTACAATCTGCCTTGTCAACTATTAAATAACCTTTGGAGGAGAGCTTCCTCTTCAGCTACTATGCCTTTCTTACCCAGATCTTTTCGACGTTTATATTCATTGATGTTCACGTTGATTTCCTTCACGGCAAGGACGGCGCTGGTTAAAGGTACTTTGTCTGGGTGGGAGTCTGGGGTAGAATTCAGCAGCTCCATTAGCAGCAATGGGTAGCGCATGACTCTCTGTACTGGCTTGATGAGGAAGGAGCCCAGATTAATATAATTGGTACACCCCCTGTAAAAGCAGGCAAAAAAAAAAAAAGGTTCTAGTCCACAGTAATAAGGTGTTTCTGGACACTGCGTGCTATTCATAAATACAGCTCTGTTCTCCTCCCTGCTTTGTTTCATTTAACAAATACGCTCATGTATTGCAGCAAGTTCTGCAGCACGCCACTGGCTAATTTTCCTGTGCCAATATCAGAATGCACGACATTGATTTATATAGCCATATTTGGCCTACCGGTCACTAAGACCCACAAAATCATTGATACGTGACAAGACAGACATGCATCTCCTTTGTAGGCTGCCTGCAGTCTTGTCCACCCATACTGACAATATTGCATGGTCCATGATAATGTTATAAGTATCAAACTGGCCCCTAGCAGAAAGAAAAGTTCCCTAGTCCTCCATTGTTGACCCGATACTGATTATGCAGTGCATGCATGTGTACTTACCAAATAAATAATAGGTACTGTACTAGGTGCTGGGGATTTAACAGTGACCCCAAAAAGTCCTTGCCTTGGTGGGAAAAGACAAGCAACAAACAAGCGTGTGTGTGTGTGTGTGTGTGTGTGTGTAAAGTATCATTTGGCCATAGCAGTATAAAAATACTTGGCAAAGTAAGTCTGCTCATAGGCTGTCTGGTAGGAAAATCAAGTAAGACTATTAAGGGTAGAGAGAAATTCACTGAATAAATGAGCTCATACATCAAGCAGACAGGGGACTTACCATTCATTGTACAGGCTCCTACAGGGCAGGGAGCAGGAGAGAAAAAAGAGACAACTTATTAGAGACATGATGTTGATTTTCTCATTCTTCTCGACAAAAAAAAAAAACATGGTAGTGAAAATTGTGGTTGCTTATGGTGGCATATCTAGTCTACTAGAAGTCAGCAAGCCCAAACTTCATTCTGATCAACATATTCACAAGCTGTATCTTTGTAACTTGTCTCCCTAAGACAGGAGATTCTCACTGACAGGAATAATTACACTTGTTCTCATGTATGCTCTTGTGTATTTGGACCAAAATATTATCCTGGCTACCTCTTAAAATGCTAACTTAATACCCTGTATATATACAAGTGATTTTAGCAGAAAATAACACAAATAGGAAGCTGTAGAGAACTTCGATGATATATAATGGGAATAGGGCAAGCTACATGTAAGACACACAATAATACATCACTCTGGTTTAAAATAAGATCAACAGGTAGAAGTCATGAGAAGCCCAGATATAAGCACAGGATAGCTTCTTAACAGCAGGACTAAAGAGGGATGATGGAAGTGACTAGAACTTACTTAAGCTCTGCCAAGGAGTCCTGAAGATGCTTCTGGATCCTCTCGTCCTTCTCATAGATTTCTAGCAGTGAAATGGCCTCATCGTGATTCTGACAATAGACCCTGTATGCTCCTTCAAGTTCATCTCGGTGATCAAGAAACACAGGTCCTTTGAGTAAACACAAACATACCGCGCTATCAGCAACATTCTCACTATTCAGTACAGGATCTTACAATGAGAATGAGACCCACCTTGGCCTAGAACTCATGATCCTTTTTCCTCAGCTTTCCAGCAGCTAAGATTACATAAGCACACACCACTGGCTGTAATCTTTGGATTCTTAATTCCTATTTTATAGACTCCATGAAATCCATATACAGACCCCAATCATTAGTCCCTCAGCAAACCGTTACTAAACAATCCCTTAAAACCAAGCTCTCCATGAAAGAATGCTTAAACCCCCTTTACAAAACCAGCACCTGCTCACAGGCATCAGAAAGCAAGACTCCTCCCCACCCCCCTACACACACACACACACACACACACAGTACCATGGTGTTTGGACTGAGGCCCTCTGGGCCAGGCAGTCATCTGGCCCCTGACTGTGTGTGGCATATGCCACCATAAGCTCCTTCTCTCCAGAAGAAACTGCTTGAGCATCAGCTGGCATCTGAGTCACATCTTTGATGTGAATGCTACTTGAAGAAGCAAGTGGCCCTGGGGAAGCGGATAGCTAGGACCACCCAAGACCCCTGAACATAGCAACAGGCAATAGGACAAACCAGAAGAAAAATAAGTAATTGCCCGATTAGTAATCCCTTTTAGACTTCAACTAAATTGCTCTTGGTTTCTTTTATAGTTCAAATGACTTGCAGGTACTTATTTTAAATATGGTATAAAGGTTCATCCATTTGACTTTAAGCTTATCATTATATTAAGGCTAGGTTATCATGACTCAACTCACTGACTCCAGTCTACTGAGACTGACAACAAGGTTCCCAGGCTGCCATTTCTCTTACTATTTCAGACAGCGTTTACTTTTCAGGTAGGGTTTCACTTTTGCCCAGGGCATAGCCTTGGACTGTGATCTTCCTACCTCTGTCTCCCACATATCTGGGATTAGAGACATGAACCTTCACAGCCCTTTTTTTTTTTTGGTCAGTCTTAGGGCTTGAACTCTGGACCTGGGCATTGTTCCTCAGCTCTTCAGGTCAAGGTGAACACTCTACCACTTGAGCCACTTCTGGTTTCCTGGTGGTTAATTGGAGATAAGAGTCTTATGGACAGAAGTGGTGCTGTGGCTCAAGCAGTAGAGCACTATCCTTGAGCTGAAGAGTTGGCCTCCTGTGTAGCTACTAGCTAGTAGTCACCAGCGCCCAGCTCCTTTTTGAGACAGAGGTTAGATAACCTTTTTTGTGTGTGTGTGTGGGGGGGGGGGGGGGGAACGCTGGGCTGGCCATGACTTTCAATTTTCCTGTAGCTACCTCTAAAGTAGCTAGGATTATTCTTTCAACATCTTTGACAATAACCCATATAAATAGGATTTAACTCATGACCTACATATATAGAATGGAAATAATAATTAACTGATCCCATGATCCACTACTGAGCTGAGAAACATCATACTCTATACCTAAACAGTCTTTTTATTGCTAGCACATTTCATTACCTCAAAACAGACTCAGATGAAGGGGGTGGGGCAGTCTACACAACCAGTGAAATTAGCCAATGAGCAGGTGAACGGAGCTACCCTCCAACCTCTATCACTGAAATAATGACAGAAGTTCAGGAGCTCATACCTACGGCATCGCTGATTTCTAGAGCCTCCAATAACTGCTTAGAGACTTTAATTACCATCTGCATGTTTCCAAAAAGTCCCTCAAAGTCAATGTTTGGTATCTGTGAAAGGGAAACAAAACAAAGATATATACAGGTGAGATGAATGCCCTATTTCTCCTATTAGGAATATCTGGCCAAGGGCTGTGCAGAAACTGCCCTGGGTCTTTCTTTCACTTACATGCACATTTCCAGAATACAGTCATCCAACATTATCTTCAGCATCACCCTTTGTCCTTGACCCAACCAGGTTTGGGTCTAGGGTGCTCCCCAAAGGGCACGTGTTAAAGGCTTGGTTGTAGCCTGTGGCATGGTTAGGAGTGGGGTATACTTAGCAGAAGCTAGGTCACTGGGGAAGTCCCCTCAAAGGGGCCATTGGGACCCTAGCCCCTCCTTTCACCCTCTTTGCTTCCTGTCTGCTATGAGCTGAGCAGCTTTGTTACCCCACCTTCTCCCCACCATGATGCACTGCTTCACCATAGAGCCAAAAGGAGTCAACCACCTCAAAAAAATCTCTTAGGCCTCCATACATCTCTGCGATGCAAGTGCTCATATCCTAGCTCTGCAGGCTTTGAGGGCCTCCCACCTGTGCCTGCTGCAGGGGCACCATGATCCGCTCAACGCACATCTCCAGATCCCGAATGTAGTCTCGTTCTGTCTGAAGAAGTTCTTCTACCACCTTGGCCCTCTTCTCCAGCATCCTCTGCTCTGGGGTTTCAGTGGACACAGAGCCAGAAGGGGCAGCCAGGGATGAAGACTCAGATGAGAGGAGTGTCATTTCTAGAAGGAAAAAGGAGAATAGTCAGCAGTTGTAGGTGTGAACACAGGATTGCTGCGTTGGGGCTGACCGGAAGCACTCCTGGAGGACTGAATTTCTCCAGTGAGTGACTGTAGTGCCGCTGAGGGATACGGATGCAATCAGGACATGGGAGTGGTGAATGACACATTTGTATATCTGTGCTGGTACTGGGGCGTGAACTCAGGACCTCATGCTCTCACTCAGCTTTTTTCACTCAAGGCTGACTCTCTACCACTTGAGCCATATCTCTCCACTTCTGTCTTTTTGCTTGTTACATGGAGCTAGGAATCTTTCAGATTTGTCTGCTCAGGCTGGCTTTAAACTGTGATCCTCATAGCTCAGCCCCTTGAGTAGGTAGGATTATAGGCATGAGCCTAGTGCTTGGGCTCATGAATTTTGTATTGATTCCAAAAATGAAAAAAAAAGTGACAATATAGTGGAGGAATGGATAATACCATGATGCAGTAATCACATTAACATTACTAATTAGGGGAATACACGTGTCCAAATGTTGTGTCTAGAAACGATGCATATCTCTTCAGTAACCCAGCCATGATATGTAATTTGAAAGTATAATTTGAAATGAATCTTGAAGAAACACCAAATCAAACTGAGGATTTGTATTCTTCAAAATGTTAATGTTGAAAGACAAAACAATGTAAAGCCCTTCAAGAAGAGTTCTCAGGTATAAATAAAACAATGACAATTAAATATATTGGAGAAAATTATATGTATTGGAGAAAATACTGCTATAAAAGATACTACTAAGACAAGTGATGAATCAAGAATGTACACTATAGTTTGGGTAAATGATTAATTCAGCTAAGTGTTCTGAACTGGCAAATCTGTTGTGGATGTGTGAAACAATATCCAGGCTCACACATAGGGCACACCGAGTGGCTAGCAAAGCGCTTGCCTGGCATGTATGCACAAGGCCCTGGGTTTGATCCCCAGCATCAACATGTTCATGCTGAAGCTTCCCAAGGACACGCCCTCTCAGATAACTGAGTATACTAGGGAGAAAAAGACTGAAGAGAGACGGAGGAAAGAAAGGAAACAGCGAAATGTTAAATACTCGTAAACCAAAATAAAAGGCATACAGGAGGTTCTCTGTACTATTGTAATTTCCTGTAAGTTTGAGATTATTCCAAACAAAATTTAAATAGACATTCTGGAGCTGGGCACTGGTGGCTCACACCTATACTTTTAGCTACTCAGGAGGCTGAAGTGTGGGGATTAGGGTTCAAAGACAACCAGGGCAGGAAAGTCTGTGAAACTCTAATCTCCAAAAAAGCCAGAATGGAGCTGTGGCTCAAAGTGCCAGAGCACTAGCCTTGAGCACAAAAGCTCAAGTAAGGTACTCAGACCCTGAGTTCAAGCCCTAGGACAGGCAAAACTCAGGGTCTGAGTACAAGTCCTAGGACAGGCAAAAACAAACATATCTTCCTTGATCTTTCCTTTTTGGTAGAATGAATGACAAAACTTCAAGCATTAATCTCAGCTCACCACAGAACTAAATTATGAGTTTAAATTAATTGTAACATACATAGAATTTATTGATTATAATACAAGGAAAAGAACCCATGGTGTGGCACATGCAAAGCATCTGCTTTACCTCTATACTTCTGGCCCTACAGAATTTATTTTTAATGGACCTGTTTCAAATTTTCTTTGTAGTTTCCTAGCGGTAAGCTCTTAGTCCCAAATATCATTATCATTAGTGGCAACTTGAAAAAAAGAAATTTGTTTTAAATACAAGACTAGAAAGCTCTTAAAAAGTACACTGAGTTGTTAACACATGCAACAGAATTTACAAACTATATTCATGAACTCATTTAATACTCTGAAATTTTAAAATATGTCAGTTTTATTTAACAGATTTAAAAACCTAGCCTTTGAGAGGTTGCCTACTCTATAACCTCACAAGTTGGCCAAATGGCAACAAAGTACAACAAATACATTTAAACTATCTATTCACTAAAATTGCTTACCATTTTTGCATTCCTTGTCTTAAATCTCAACTGGAAAAAGTCAGGCACCTACTTGCTTCAAGTCTTAAAAATTCCAGAGAAAATATTCTTTCCAAGAAATTAGTTCACTAATTACAGAAGTCAAAAGCACAAAGTACCAGCAAGCACTTCCTCATCAATCAGAAGCCAGCAGCCTATACAAAGAGACTCTGACTTCATTAATATTTGAAACAAAAGGGGAGAGAAAAATTGGGGGAGAGCAAGGGAAAGGGGGATACTGTCCAAAAAGAAATGTACTCTTTACCTGACTTATGACCCCTCTGTACCTCATCTTTATAACACTTTTTAAAACGTTTTCTAAAAAAGCAAAAGTGCTGGGGACATGGTTCAAGTGGTAAAGCGCCTGACTACCTAGCAAGTACAGGGCCTTTTATTCAAAACCCCAGTACCAAGATAAGAAAAAAAATCCATAAGAACAAATGCAAACATTTTGTTTTTCAAACTACCAAAACCATTCATGAGATTTTAGACTCCTGAGCAGCTTTTACAAGATAAACTCCAAACACTTTAGTGTGATTTAACAATCCCCCCACCCCCTTTTCCAGGAATGCTTTTGCTAAGCTGCCAGAGAATCCTAATCTGGGTGAGTCCTGAAACCTGCAATTTTAACAAAACCCCAGGTGTTCTGGAGGTGTAACTTTCAAGCCTGTTAACACACTCAAAAGAGTTTTCCAACGCCAGGTCATAAAAAAAAATCTGGCTTAAAAGGACTCAAATGAAAGACTGTTTTCCCTTTATTCCCTAAGTACAGCGAGGGTAAATGGTTTAAAGCATGCCACACGATTTTAGGCAGCTGGGGATGCCGCCCGGTGGTAGAGTGCTGCTTGACGAGCCTGAGGCTCCCGGTTCGATCCCGGGCTGGCTCGGCGGGGGCGGGAACCGGCTCTGCGCGGCCCTCGTCCACCGGGCTAGCAGGGAGCGCGGCAAGTTCACCGTGGGCCTCGGATGCCTCGTCAGCAAAACGAGAATGGACCCGTTTTGTGGGGTCGATGAAGGAACTAAACAAGGTCATGGCTCAAATAAAGGTCGTCCTGTTCCCACGGACGGGCGTCGGGCGACCCCGGGCCCCGGTTCTGAAGTTCGACTTCCCCGCAAGAACAATGAAGGCTGGCGAGGGGCAAAGCACGTGCGGGGAGCCGCGCCCAGAACCGAGACCCAGACCCGGCCCCTTCTCCCCGGGGGTGGCCGTGCCTCAGTTTCCCGCCGAAAGGATTCTCTGTAGGGGAGCGGGGCCGGCGGCTCCCGGGCCCGGCACCTTCCCGGCGGTCACCTTCCTCTTTCCAAGAAACGCGGTGGCGGCAACACGTCCTGTCCTGCAACTTCCCGCACGTTCCGGAGGCGGCCCGGGGCGGCTCGGCCGGACCCCGCTCCGGGAGGGGGAAGGTCTGTACTCCCAGCCGGGTCCCCTCCCTGCCCGCGTGCGGGGTCCCCGCGGCTCCCCGCACCCCGCCGGTACCTGCAGTGCCGCCAGAGCGCGCCCCGCGCAGCCCGGCGCGCGCGGCGGGATCTTCCCCGGGCTCAGGAATGCCTGCGGCCCCCAAGGTCTCAGAATGGGGGGTGGGGGATGCCCCGCTCCCCTTCCCACATTTCCATATGAATTGCCCCCCCCCCCCGCACCCAGCCCGGCACGGAGGGGCCGGGAGTAAAGGCCGGAGCTGGACTCACCCCCGCGGCGCGGAGCGGTCCCCTCGGGGATGACGGCTCTGCACAGCCTCGGCGGGGCTTTGTGTTGGAGGAGCGGGAGGAGGGGGCTACGCTTCCCAGGAAAAACTGCCCAGGCCACTCCACGCTCCGGGAGAAGCGGGGCGGGGAGCAGCTGCCTTATTCTGCCGGAGGCTCCGCCTAGGAAACCCACCCCCTCCAGGCCAGGCCCTCAACCCCAAGCCCGCAGACCGGCGGGCGGTCTCAGTGGGAAGGTCCTGGCTATTCAGAACCTAAGAACCAACAGTGATTGGCACCACCTGGAGCCCCTCACCTCTCACAAACTTAACATTTTAAGGAATTAGGGGAGGAGAAAGTTACACAAAATACTTTTGTTGTTGTTGTTTTGTAAGGAAATGAAGAGAAAGGAAAAGGGAAAGCGAATATGAAAGAAAAGTCCCGTGAGATGCACACACATTTCCCTACATTCACACCTACAATATGGGAGAATACAGAGGAAGGTGTACAGAAAAGAAAGCACACTGATTTAACCAGAGCTGGCCTCAGAAAAACCCTGGGAGCTGGGGTAGAAGTTGAGATCCAAGGTGCCAACATACTAGGCAAGTACTTCACCCTGAACTACCCCTGTCATGCTAAGACAGCTCTCTATTGGTGACATTTTAAGTGATGTAAGAGTTTTGGCATGTGAATAAAGTCTTCCCCACTGCTTCTAAACTTGCTGTTACCGTGTGAGGGTTGATGGACAGCAAGCTTGTTTCCCTTATCCAAGGTTCTTTCAGAGGCTAGGTGACAGGAAATGGCTAAGGGCCAGGAACACCTTGTCTTTCCCTGCTCTTCTCTCTTAACACATCTTTTACATGGGTAGCAAACCAGTTATTTATTTCTTAGTTTATTTTGTGCTGGCCCCAGGGTCTGGACTCTGTCCCTGAGCTTCTTTTGCTCAAGGCTAGCACTCTACCACTTGGGCCACAGCTCCACTTCTGGCTTTTTTGGTAGTTCACTGGAAATAAGAGTCTCACTTTCTTGCCAGGGCTGGTTTTGAACCAGGATTCTCAGATCTTAGCCTCCTGAGTGGCTAGGATTACAAGTGTAAGCCACTAGGGTCTGGCTAAAAAGCCCTTTATGGCATGCACTCCCCTAAGGTACATCCTGAGACAGTAGGGTTCCTCTGATCCACAAAAGAAAAAGAAAAGAGAGAGAGAGAGAGATCCTTTTAAATTCAAATGGAAAATAGATCTTAACATCTATTTACATGAAGGTCTTTTAAATGGTTACATGAAGCATGTAGC